ATCAGAAAAGCAAATGAGGGATACACCTTGAAAGGAATTTTGATGTAATCTGTTAGCATGTCAGGTCATGGACTGTTGGCCCGTTGGCCATTGTTATTATTATTATTTTTTTTTTTAATTTTTGTGTGCAGGTGCAGCTTTGGTGCTTTCGTCCAAAAACGCTGAGAGAATCCCAATGCGAGGTTTAAGGTGTCTCAAGACGCCTTTGTCACTGTGATGTGAAAAACTTGTGCAGATCATCTTCCTTCCAGTCGCTGGCAATCTGCTCACCAGGTTTTCAGTCCTCAGCCCACCCCCTTTTGTTCTCTGGGTGAACTCTAGAGTTTTGTTGTGCGATCCTGTTCTCCATACCATCACTGCTGACCCATCCAGCTCCCCAATCAGCACAAACGCGCACACATAAATACCCAGTTAGTCGCTCACACAGTCAGCTAAATAACCCGTCTTCAGTGCCAGGCAATAAGAAAAAAAGGCATCAGAGGAGAAAGGAGGAAAAGAGGTGCTGAGGCAGCTGTGGTTTCAGAGCCAATCTCTGCACCTCCTGGCTGCTCCCCGTCTCCATCTCCTCCTTGGCTCCTCCAGGGACGCAGGGCTTGGCCAGGCCCCAGAAACCAGGGAGTCAGGACCAGGCTGAGAGGGAGAAAAGGGGGAACAAAAGAGGGGAGGAAGAATTTTAAAAAGAAGAAAAAAAAGGAAAAAAACAAAGCAGACCAAAAGCCAAGTGTTTTCTGGCAGAAACTGCAGGGAAAACAATAAGTTTATGAGTTCTACTTTTTTTAATGGCCCATATTTGTATGAACATTGAAACACTTGTTAGACTTTCCTAATCAACCACTTTCATTTGTAATTTTTAAATAAATTTGCTCTAAATTGTTTCATATACTGAACTACATTCTTAGAAACTACTCAGTCTCAAACACTTTTGATACAAAAATTCTAGTTTTCAAGACTTTTGGTCAGAAACAATATGTTTTTCTCACTGTTACACATATTGTCAGTGTTATTCTTTTACTGTAGAAAGCCTATGGGTTGATGTTTTTGTCATAATGCAGTTAAATGCAGAATTTCAGAAGTATTTTCTGTTCTTTGAAACACATCATGAAGCTGGTTAGTGCTGCTTCATTTTGATTTCCCTCTCATTAATGTTTAAAATAGCACAGGCAGTTATTTCAGTGATTATAAAAGGATTGATTCATGTTCTAAATCTACAGTTCATTTAAAGTTGCTGGCAAGTGTTAAAACAACAGGTGGCAAATTAAAAAAGACAAGTGTTTGGTTACCATGTGCCAGGAAACTGTTTCAGATATTCCATCAGTTAATGTTTTGATGATGAAAAGAAGATTGTTGTCTGACAAGTCGGTGCAAAAATCTCACAGATGCTCCACTAGATTGACCTCAGGTGACTGGAGAGATCATAGGCAACCACAGATATAATTTTCATGCAGATCTGATTATATTTTATCGCTGACCCAATCGCTGAGTGCCTCTTTGTGTCCTGCTGTTGACTGTGTTGACAAAAAGAAAGAAAATATAAAATTTACAGAATGAACGTGATTAAAACAGAAAAGCATTGCATGAATTTTGAAGTGGACCAACACTGCCAATCAAGGTAAAAAAATAAATAAAGAGGAAGTCTGAACATTTTAACCAGGATGTATGTGGAAAAGGACATGTTTTTCTCCAGTTTAATGGCGAGCCAAACATGGGCTCTTTTTGGTATCATTTTGGGGTTCTAAAAAAATCTCCTTAAAATCAACTGCTGTGGGAAAAAAACACTGCATTAACTTATATTAAAACTCTACATTTTTAAATGATATTTACAGTATTTTGTTTTCTCAACTGAACCACATCCATGTTAATGTGAATGTGTGTGCAAAGCATAGACTGCTATATTAAACTCAAAAACTAAAGTTAGCACAAAAAGTAAAGAAATTTGTGTTTGTACATCGTTTCTTTGTTGCAACAGTGTTTCTTGGCAATGAATCTCACACTGTTGGAAAGATTGTTCGTTTCTCTTTTAAATTGTGCCACATTTGTAAGGAACATGCATTTGTGGGATGAGCAGTAGAGCTCATTGGTATGTGGGTTGCACTTGTGAAAAATTAGCCAAAGCTTCTCTGCCAGTTTATTTTGATGTTGCTATTGACAATTGCTTTGAGCTTCTGGTACCCCCAGGGTCTTCCAATCATAAGATTTATTGCCAAGAAGCATCGTTACAACAAAGAAATAATTTACCAAACACAAATTTCCTTACTTTTTGAACTAAATATGGAGTAAATAATAATAATAATAAAACATTTAAAAAATCTTCTTGCACACATATTAGCCTATAGGTAGCCCTCTACTTCCTTGGACTCAGCCATTTGCAGTGACTATATTAATTACACTGTGAGTCAGTCATTACTGTTTTCTTGTCATTTTACGTGTGGTCAAATGACCACATGCAATTTTTTTTCCACACAGTATCTTATTTTTATGTTATTTCAATTTATTGTGTTGTACAGTATTTTTATTGTATTCTCTGTCTTACTTTTTAATGTTATTTTAATTCTATTAGCATCGCTACTATTGATAATGTTGCATAGAAATATATTGTTTTGTAGACTGATGGATCTGCTGCTGCTGTTACACCTGAATTTCCCCTCTGCGGGACAATAAAAGCTGTTTCTATTCTATTCTATTCTCTCAACACTGGCAGATAAAAAAGGAAGATTTCTTGATGGTGTTATTTGCCATTTGCCTGCAGAAGACTCATCCTCACGCTTATCATCTTCACACCAACAGTCTTGCATTAATCTTTACTGGAAGCCTGATTAAACACACAGAAAGTCCAGATATGCTGTCTATGACTGAACCTGAAGTGTAATCTGTTCACTGGCCTTCAGTCCTGGGTTGCGTTTGAGGCCTATTCCCTCTTTCTTCTCCCCCTCACCAGTCTGTATTTTATGGGCTGTGTGCTGCGGTGCGGTGACCTCCTTCTCACCCCGGTGCCACCCAGCCAGTGCAGGAATCAGGCACATGCGGCCCCTGCCAAAACCCCAGTGCGCCACATCTGTAATCCATAAACGCCAGCCACTCTCACTCTCCTTACTCCCTCGCCCACACTGCCTCACACTCTCATCCATTTCACCCTGTCGCCCTTTCTCACCCACTAGCGTTTTATTTTAATTTAGTAAGTCTGTGAATCCCCCTCGTTTCACATTCTTTTCCCTGCGTCCTCCCTCCACTTCTGGTTTTATTCATTCTGAACATCTCCCCTTATCGCTCCGCTCCCCTCCCCTGCCCCTCTTTTCCTCTCCTTCCGCTTCTTCATCCACATCCAACGAAAAAATCTCTCACCCATTATATCTTCGGGGAGAGCCAGCTAAGTGTGGTGGCAGTGAGCTGGGAACCACAAGACATTCCTGATCCAAACAGCACTAAGTCACCGGCGCTTGTGTCCTCCGACGATAGCGTGTGCCAAACACACACTTCACTTATGGGCTGGAGTCAGTCTTACCACGTCGCTGTTGGTCCCAGAGCAGCTAAATGTTTATCTCTTTCAAATTGATAGTGTCAGGAAAAATGTAAAGTATGAAATCTAAATTCAGCTCCAATTTTTAGTGCGTTACTGCAGGAACACAGGGAGGTGCTCTGAGGTCCCTCTCCCCTCACCCATATCCTTCCCCATTAGTCTTAACAAGATGCGTTCAACATATAGGTTACTTAAAAAAAGGGGGGGAAATAAATTGAGTGTTAACAACAAAACAGTCCAGAGCTCCAAACTTGCACCCCCTATGGGCAATGTAGACATTTGTCTTCTTCATTTCCATTATCTTTTTTTCCCCTTCTTCCACTGTAATCAAATAAAAACGAACAGGGTGAACTTTAGCTCCCCTCCTTTTCTTGGATCACGTTCTCCTCTCCATCCCTAAAGTCTTCACCTTCTGGTTTCCCCAGACATATTGGCATGCCTCTGAGGTGCAGTCCCGCTTCTCAGTCCGGGGGATGAATCATGTTGCTGCAGGCACGCAAAGGGCTCAGTTTTTATGATAAATATTGGATGTCATAAATCAGTGTTTTTCTAAGCAAATAAGAAAAGTAAGGCCAGGGAAGGACACAAAATTGTGGAGCACTTCAGCTTGGGTTTCAAAACAACAGCGAGGTCGTGATCTGAGTGGGTTTAAGAAGCGGGTTATAGGTCAGCGCAAGACCACCATGGAGAAAGGAAAAGCCATGTGTGTAAAACTGCTGATAAGAGGCAAAGAATTATCTATTTTTTTAATGTTCATACTGTAGTAAACGCTCTGCTTAGTGTGGACGCGGAAAAAAAATAAAAAATAAAAATCGTGTTTCCAGTTTTCCTCTCCTGCCTTTATCTCTGATGTAATGTTGGCACTGCCATTTATTTTGAAACAGCTTAAATGGCTAATCTTGTATTTAGTGATATTGTAGTTTGATGTATTAAACACAATCTGGAGCTAGTGATTTATTACACCCTGATAGCTTTTTTTAAGTAAAATCCACTGAAGCATGTTTGCGATAAAATATACATAAATAAACCTGACAGCTGCTATTTGTCTTAGTTCAGAAAAAAATTATTCATTGATAGATTGCAGGCAAGATGCTGTGCTTAAAAGTACAACATGGGAGTTCTTGGTTCATGATTACACTTCCTCAAATATAACATCATCTGCATAATTATTTTGTTCTCATTCTTTAATTTTAATGCGGCTGCAGGCATTTGGCAACATGAGCCCGACTTCAAAGAAAGTAAATGAGCCTGATGCATGAGTGCATGTTAGAATTATTACAAGCTGTTGTGGTAACAGCACTCGGAGTTGTTTAATCATTAAGTATTTTATGTAAACAGTTTTTTTTGTTTAATAGAAATTGTCACTTTTTTCCTTTTTAACTGATGACTAAGTGGGTTACTTATTCATGACTGCCATCTAGTGGCCAAAGCAAACTCAGCGGCAAGTTAAAACAAAGGAGAATGAGGAAAACATTACAACAGGAAATATGTTGTATTTCTTAATATTTAATATATTTACTGAACGTGTCATGTGAATCTGTTTAATTAATATGCATCTTGTTTCTCTCAAACTGCTGTTTTTCTCCAACTATTCCATGTCCAAGTCATCAAATTCAATTGTAACTTCTTTCTTGAACCAAGGTAGCTGGGAGGGCACATATGGGTCATACGTCCAGCGAGGATACACCCTTTTGTACAGATTCATCAGAACAGTATCTTGAGAGCGCAGCTGGTTATCGAAGACGCACTTCATGTGACCGTGTGTTCCTGAAAGATTTCACATAAAGAAATTAGAATTCACACAGGAATTTTTGTTTGAAAAACCTGCAGAAAATCTGATTTGCTGTCAAACGTCCTCACCTAAAGCCTCCTTGATGTGGCCTCTCCGACCCCATTTTGTCCTCAGCTCCACTGGTTTGAACCACATGATGTCATCTGTCACAGAAATAATCAGAAGAGGATTAAATTCTTGTACAAGCCACACATTATTGCATTAACCATATTAAAAGGAATTGCATCTTCTCACCTCTGTTAAAGAACATGTAGCGGACTACAGCTGAACGCCTGTTGATTTTAAATGGGTGTCCACTCAGCACAATCCTCTTGAGCACAACGCGCCGAGGGTCACAGCTGAGCAGGCTGCCGGTCGCCACTAGGTCCTGGACACCTACAGAGACAGAAGTAAACATGAGCTCAGATGCCAGTTTAAAACGCGAGAGGATAATTAAATAAAAAAATGTTTACTAACAGATCCCCTTCTGTTATAATCTCACCATCATTCCTTTGTTTGAAGAGCAGTACTCCTGCAGGAGGGAAGGTGATGGGGGCATACACTGACACCACAGTGGGGGCATCGGGCCTGAGAAAACGCTCCATCTTATGTTTATCAGCTGGAGAACAGAAATCCACATTGAGTAATGCATTTGTTATTAAATAACAAAAAATCCGATCTGACATCTCAGTTTCACATGAATCTCAGAAAGTAACATTATGAATTATGACATCAGATACTGAGCAATATTGATATTGTGAAGCCTAAATTTCAAACCAGTTTGAGGGAGCGTTGTACTTCAATTCAGAGAATAAAATTATGGAAAATGCCAGATCAATGTTTATGTTTAAGAGAATGATAAAAGTTGGTTTGCTGAAGAAATATGAAATAGTATGATGGTAGTAGTTTGTGGACTATTTTTAACAAATAAATTAATTCTCCTGCAATGTGAACATCTGTGAGTGTTCTGCATCAGGACTCTGGACTATGCCCGGAAAAACGATCAAAATTTTATTGCAAGAATAAGACACTAACTGTGAAATCACTAAAAAAAAATTCTCGAGTAATAGTTGTTCTACCTGATGTGTGCTGAGAGAATATAGGCGAGGCCCGGAATCTCCGAAATCCACAGTGAAACACAAGCTCCTCTTTCGATTTGATTGGCTCAGTGTTGCTGGGGTGTCTCCTCACCAGGACATGCATCACCGACATCTGTTCACAGTAAGAAAAGAAGAAAGTTCCGTCACTAAAAATAACTAGCAGTGTGTGTGACGGTACATCGAAAGGAGGCTTAGAGATGTTATTACCTTCTGCTCGTGGGGCAGGAGAGACACCAGCAACAGAGGTTTGCCGGACTGGACACTCTCCATCACAGAGAAAGGCACGTCGATGATGTGCAGTGTGACATACCAGCCAACCTGAAACAGAGAGGCCCAAGAGTGGTGGAACTTATGATTCCAATATCAACCAAGAACTATTTATATGATGAAGAAAGTTGCTTTTTGAATACCATTGCTCCCTCCTCCTCCTCAGCTGCGGCCTCTGCCAGGATGCGTCTGCGAGTGCGTTCGAAACTCTGAAACTGGAAAATGCGTGAATAGTCGTGAGGTAAATTCTCCAAAGGGTCCCAGGGTGAGGAGCGGAAACTTTTCAGACCCCTGTAGCGCTGGAACCTGGGAATAAAAAAAAATACAATAAAATATATTTACATATATACACATGATGTGCAGTGATTCTAACATCATTAGCAGCACTCAAAACACAAGAGTACCTGATTCTAGCGGGCGTGTCCTTGGGCGTGTCCACCTCATCAGGAAACATCTCATTGGATCGAGCCTCTCTGTAGAGTTTCAGGCCTTCTTCTTCTGCTGCTTCATCCATGTGTTCGTCATACTGCTGATCTGCTCCAGCTCGCTCTGTAGAGCACACCTCTTCTTCCTCCTCTTCATCATCTTCCTCTTCTGAAGCACAGCATGAATCAGGCTCCTAAAGAGAAAGGGAATTATACAAGTGATTTAAACGTGCCAACATTATAAACACTTCCTGCCAACAGAGATAAAAATACATCCAACTCACAATGTAAAAACTTTCCCTTTTAAGTGGCCATAAATAAAAAAGAATGCATGTTGCTCTATTTCACATCATGACAAATAAAACCTTTGAGATTGCTGTAATTGTTGGATTTGTGTCCTGGGAATGAGTTTTCAAAGTTTCTTGACCACTGAGCTATTCAGACATGCAAAGTACGGCTGCATCACAGAACCAACACAGAGCAGATTACGCAAACTCTACTTTTTCGAAACATCTTTCCCTAAAGTTTACCGGCTTGCTGAACTCTCTTTCGAAACCTGTTTCTCTGGATTGTCACTTCCTTCCTTCCTTCCTTAACTCCCTTTTGAAATCTCTCTCTGAATTGTTACTTCCTTCCTTATTTCCCTTTCGAAACCTCTTTCTCTGAATTGTCCCTTCCTTCTTTAACTCCCTTTCGAAACCTCTATGCCTGAATTGTTACTTCCTTCCTTAACTCCCTTTCAAAACCTCTTTCACTGAATTGGCCCTTCCTTCCTTAACTCCCTTTCGAAATCTCTTTCTCTGATTGTCCCTTCCCCCCTTAAACCCCATTCGAAACCTCTTTCTCTGAATTGTCCCTTCGTTCCTTAACCCCCTTTCGAAACCTCTCTCTCTGAATTGACCATTCCTTCCCTAACTCCCTTTCGAACCCTCGTTCCCTGAATTGTCACTTCCTTCCTTCCTTCCTTAACTCCCTTTTGAAATCTCTTTCTCTGAATTGTTACTTCCTTCCTTATTTCCCTTTCAAAACCACTTTCTCTGAATTGTCACTTCCTTCTTTAACTCCCTTTCGAAACCTCTTTCTCTGAATTGTCACTTCCTTCTTTAACTCCCTTTCGAAACCTCTTTCTCTGAATTGTCACTTCCTTCTTTAACTCCCTTTCAAAACCTCTTTCTCTGAAGTGTCCCTTCCTTCTTTAACTCCCTTTCGAAACCTCTTTCACTGAATTGGCCCTTCCTTCCTTAACTCCCTTTCGAAATCTCTTTCTCTGATTGTCCCTTCCCCCCTTAAATCCCATTCGAAACCTCTCTCTCTGAATTGTCCCTTCGTTCCTTAACCCCATTTCGAAACCTCTCTCTCTGAATTGACCATTTCTTCCCTAACTCCCTTTCGAAACATCGTTCCCTGAATTGTTCCTTCATTCCCTAACTCCCTTTCGAACCCTCGTTCCCTGAATTGTCCCTTCCTTCCCTAACTCCCTTTCGAACCCTCGTTCCCTGAATTGTCCCTTCCTTCCCTAACTCCCTTTCGAAAGCTCTTTCTCTGAATTGTCACTTTCTTTCTTAACTCCTTTCCGAAATCTCTTTCTCTATATACTCACTCACTCACTCACTCACTCACTCACTCACTCACTCACTCACTCACTCAC